GCTTCGTTATTCCCATTTTATCTCGTTGCTTCCATGAGTTTTCTCCTATTCACTCCTTTTTGTGGAAAGACAATTACTATTTACAATTCTACTATTTTTCATCTGTAATCGTACTATTTTCTGCAACCGATCATCGCCTTTGCAATATGTTTATTATATCTTTAGCTTTCTATTTTGTAGCATCCAGCATTTAAAAAGCAAGATCGTGATACTGAAGTTACGCAGAGTTCTGTATATCAGTAATTTTATTTAAAGGATTGATAACACGGTATATTGAATTCGAATGTATGAATTTTTTACTTTTTTAAAGAAATTCTCTTGTATTACAAGACACCCCAAACTATAATCTGTGAGCTACGATGACACTTTCTTAGGGGAGAAATCTCTCTTATATCACGAAGAAACTTAAACAGTCTAAACAATAAAATCTCGCAAATTGACAAATGATTTCTTGTAATATAAATGTTACATAAAAAGTTGCGTTTTCAACAAAAATTTTACGAAATTTATATCATAATTTCGTGTGTTTGAGATTAAAAAGTTTGTAGTTTCATTATATAAAATTTATGCAAGTAAATTTTTATATTACTTCTGTATCAAGCCACCAATCTACTTAATAGTTTCACCCCGTTTTAAATCAGAATGGCGACGTTTACAGAGAACGAAAAGCTCTAAGGTGATGTACACAAAATTAATTACGTTCATGTTTCTTATACGAAAAAAAGGGTATAAATTTATTTATAAAATTGTTTTGTAGACTTCAGATTAATGACGGTCTTGATAATGTTATCAAGATAATTGTAAGTTTATGATGACAGAAAAATTACTAACATCGTTGTTAATCAGACAGAACGGAAGATACACTAGATGTTTAATTCACAAATGAATTCTATAAAGGAGAAAGAATTATAACATTAATGTAAGTCAGGAGGCCATAGCAACAACCTAATGTAAATTTCTATAAAAATTTCTCAAGTATTGGCAACAATTTAATTTCAATTTTTTAATCTAGTAATATTACATTTATATTTATTTATATTTCTTAAATATTTTTAAAATTATAAGATATTTTTTTATCTAAGAAGCTATTAAAAGAATGAATAATAAATTTAACCACTTATATAATTCAAGCTTTTTTTTCTTTTTAAAATATGAATGATATATTAATTACAGCTTCGAGTATAGAAACCGAATACAAACAATTTCATAAAACTTAGAACTTTTATAACGATTTAAATTTATATAACTTATAAATAGATAATTTTATTCGACGTGTTCTTAATTAGCAGAATTTTCCAGACAATACTTAAACAAGAGAGGGGATATCAGTTTAAGTAATTCGATTCAAAATATAAAACAAACAGTCTACTCAGACTGACCACAAAAAAATCTTCATTTAATAATAAGTTATTAATTAGGAAATCTCAAATACAAACCATACTCCTTCAATATTAAATATCTATAACATAAAAAAATATATCTACATATACGTAAATGGTTTCGACGTAAGCAAATTAAGTTGCAATCCATTTTTTTTTTTGGCAGTAACATTTAAATTTAAAGCTGTCGAAACGGGATTTGGACCGTAGATAGCGGGTTATAAATCACTGATGCTGAATTATAATACAGTTGATAAAATTACGTAAGCTGTGTGACGTAAGCTTCTATACAAAAGTGACACCAGTCAATTCGAATGCTTCATACTTCAAAATGAAGCAGGACGTACGCGATGGAAAAAGCCTTATACAGTAAGTAATCTATAAAACTTGATACATCTCTTATATTCGCTGTAAAATATTACAGTATTTAATTATTTTTAAAATTGAAGCGTAACATAATTTTCTCGCTTTCTCAAATAGTCTTTCCTTGTTTTTCTTTGTTATAGGAATCTTACCTGCACGATATGTGTTGGTTTTCTTTATTTTTTTGGTATGTATGGAGATGTATGCTCATAGAGTCGTGCTGAACGTAGCTATTGTAGCCATGGTAAATAATTCGGCGATCGATATGAGCGAAACTGAAAATGCTCTAACTCACGAATGCCCTGATAGTGCTGAAAATCAAAATATCACGTATAATTACAGAGAAGTGAGTGTCGTATCGTACATTACACATAACACAGGGTTCCTCTGATTAATCGCTATATTTTGTTTACTGTAGGGAAAATTCGTTTGGAGTCAGCCCGAACAAGGAATTATTTTAGGAAGTTTCTATTATAGTGTGGCCGCCAGCGCCAGAGATCCTGAACTGTCTGGCAACACTTGCCAAGATCACGAACTCTGTCTGGCAACACTTGCCAACAAGAGTGGCTGGCAACGTCAAAAAAGAAAAGGCGCGGAAAGTTCGTTGGATTTTGTCCGGGTGTTGCCCGAGGATGTCTGTGACAGTTCTAACCTTTTCTAATAAAGTTCTTTTTTGTTACTGTTCGTGTTTGCCTGCTTAATGTTAGATCTAAACATCAGTAGGATTGAATGACAAAATAGTTTTGTCATTTTCCAGTTTTTGGGAGGTTCTGTCATTCATCTGTTAGGTGTCAAGCGCACTTACGTCATTACTGTGTTTTTATCGTCGGCGTTATTATCTATAACACCATTTATAGCCGAACTCGGTATAGCGGCCTTGTCATGTCAGAGAGTTGTCTTAGGAGTGTTGCATGTAAGTTACTTAAACCACATTTAAATTTTTTTTTATATTTTCAAAGTAATTGTTTTTTAACTTTAGCCACTGACGTTCCCATCAGGATTTACATTACTTTCGAGATGGTCTCCAGTTAACGAACGAAGTACATTAATGGCTATTTGCGAGAGTGGAAATTTGATTGGTTCCACAATTACTACTACATTGTCCGGTTACTTGTGCGAATATGGTTTCTCGGGTGGTTGGCCTTCAGCATTCTACGTCATTGGTAATTATCTAATTTATTCTATAGAGTTAATTATTATTCACCAATGTTAAACAATTACATTTATTATATTTCAGGTATTTATGGATGTGTTTTGTCCCTCGGTTTGTTATTTTTTGTATACGATTATCCGGAAGAATTTTCCGGCATTACTCAAAAAGAGATTCTTCATATACGACAAAACTCGAACAATAATACAAATAATATTAAGGTATATTGTAAATTGAGTTTTGAAATGTTTTATACAGCCCTTCTTTATTGAGATAATTTTGCATATTTTACACAACCAGAAAATTCCTTGGAAGAGTATTTTAACATCTGTACTAGTATGGACGACGTGCATTGTAAAATTGTTGTTTCATTGGGGTTTCTATACCTTTCTATTAAAACTACCATCGTATGTCGAGAATGTTCTACATTTCCCAATACAGCAGGTAACGTCTGCCAATTTTAATGAACATTTTTAGAAGGAAATTCAGATTAATAAATTTATTTGTTTACAGAATGGCTTAATAAACGCATTCATGTATTCAGCGAATACGTTTGGCCTCATTATATCTGGTTACTTATCAGATTTGTTTATTAAACGTAAATATTTCAACGTAACAAACATCAGGAAAGGCTTCCAGACTCTTTGTAAGTGTAAATATTCTAATTATATGTGACCAGACGAGGTCGGACTCTTTGTAAGTGTAAATATTCTAATTATATGTGACCAGAGCGGTGTCAGTCCTGACGAGGTACCTCCTTGGTACCTCGTCAGGACTGACACCGCTGTGTCTTTAGAATAGACACAGAAACCGCAATTTTAGAGTTTGCGTGAGCGGTTACGTGCGCGGGTGATCGGATTCGGGATGGAGGAGGGTTCAGAGACGGATTGGAAGTGATTCACTCGAATACAAGGTTAACAGCAAAAATAACTAATGTAATGTAACGGAAATGACATCGCGTGTTGTTATAAATACCTAGTTCACGGGATATTCCAAATAGTCATGGAGACACTGGGGAGGCCGGGAAATATCTTTGAGAATGTCTTTAGGCCTTGAACGGCGATTAAATTAAAGACTATCGAAATTAAAATCCGTCGGTTCTTCGTAGGTGTTCCCAGAGAAACACAGGATGATCGGGAGGAGCGGCGGAGACGGGCGACGGCGATAAAACCTTTCGGTTGGCACTGAGAATATACTCTCGCGGACTCCCGACGACCTCTGTTCCCTGAAATCTTTTCACTCTTTCAAGTCACGTTGTCTCTCTTCATCAATAGGGAATTTTTTTGTTTTAGTTCCCAGTGACACATTCTGAGTTCCCTGGATAAGGAAACAATTCGGGGAAGAGAAATGCACTCATCTTCCGGTACTAAAATAGGGAAAGCTTTTTTTTCTAAAATTTAATTCAGTAGGAAAAATCAGGAAAAATGAATTTTCTCTCGAAATTCGTTAGGTCCGGTTCCTCCCATATACAATATAACGTTTCGATTATAATTAAGTTATTGTATCATTTAGCTATAATAGGATCCAGTGCATGCCTGATATGCATTCCTCAAGTTGGATGTGATTCAACAAACGTCATAATAATACTCGTCATGACAACTGGCTTCATGGGTCTTGTTGGTGGCGGTGACAACGCAATCATTCTGAACTTAGCACGTAAATATACAGGTAAAAACTAATTATATTTACTTCATTACATGTTAAAATTTTTCAAATGTAAACTTATATGTAGTTTATTCAATTTGTTCAATTTTTGTTGTATGTTCTTCAGTGTTTTTGTGTTTATTTTATATATTCCTCGATTGATTTGTTTTATTCTTTTCGCGCATTTGTTTTCTTTGGATTTTCTTTTAGGAAGAAACTGAAAAACCTCAAAAAGACTTCAAGAAACTTTGATTTCGATGGAATTTCTTTAACTTTTTATTATTTTTCATGAAATTCCGTGAAAATTTTATTATGTTTTTGAAGGTCTTTATATATATTTGATATACAGTATATCAAGTTACGTATGTGTACTGTACGTATGTTGGTCTGTATTTTGCTTTAAATTTCAAGACCCATGGACCAAAAACTTTGAAATTTGGCACTACACTTCTATCTAGGACATTAATGATATTACATTTTAGAGATAAGAGGAAAGTAAGGGTAGGTTCGTATTTCGAGTGGGGTCAGAGTTAATGAAATTTTACTTGTTATTGGCATTACCAACGTTTTTAAAAACTTGTCCCTATCCGAAAAGATACAATCTTTTAAAAATTGATTGAAAAATATCAAACTTTCTGGTCCCTTAAGCTATTCGAGTAATGGGAAAGTCGTGCAAGAGCCGTTGTTATTTTCACTAAGATCCTCTTAATTTCTCCAGTATTTTTCTTTAATATTTCTCAAATTTTTTTCCAATTTTATCCTTAAAATACGTTGGAAGTTGCGGATAAAATTGCAATATCGACTCAGAGAGTTAAATTAATGATATTAAATTTGACAAGGTTGTTGCAAATGATAAAGACGTTTCGTATTCGTGATAATTCACCTTAAAAGAAACAGACAATAAATTTCGAGATTACTTAAAAAAATGTTAGAAACGAACATAAGATAACGATATACGTCTCGGTCAACCATATAAACGTGAAGTTTGTAACATGAATTGTAAAATAAGCATATTTCTGTTTATTCTTAAGTTTTAAACAATTGCAAATATGATATTTCTTACGTTTCAGGGTCGTTGTTCGGATTGACTAATGGAATGTCTGCAGTTCCTGGCTTCTTATCGCCATATATAGCTGGGCTGTTCCTAGATAAAAATGTAAATAAATTTTATTTGATAAAAAGAAGCTAATTTATCATAAAAACTTCATAATTTTTATTTATTTATTAGTAAAGTTTCTTAATGTATTTTTTATTGATTGATGTTTTCATTCTGCTTACAGCAAGGAAGCATGGTGCAATGGAGTAACATCTAGTATCTCTCGGCGGGATTTTGTATATTGGCGATGATCATCTTCCTGATTTTCGGTTCAGCCAAACTGCAACCTTGGGCTGATGATTCGGACGAAGCAGATGAAGAGAAAAACGTTGTCTCCGTATCAAAATAGGGTGCTGCAATGCCAAATTTATAAATTTCCTTTTTATTAAATATAAAATAATGAAATTAAATAATACTGTGAGAGAATATAACATTTTGTAAATAAACTTTAATATTTTTAACTACATCTTCAAGTGTTTGTACCAAATTTCAAATTTCAACTAACCGTTTGTGCTCTGCGCTTAATATCATTATTATTAACAACCCATCGCGATTATATTATAAGATTGATTAATTTTTAACTTTTGTCGGCAAAATTTAAATAAAACTAATAGATGACAAAAATTTCAACCGTAATTGTGACAAGAATAAATTAAGTGAAATTTGGTAAACAGTTAGGGTACATCATGATAACGCGCACTAAGAAAGGATTTTTGGAAATTCCCCCCGCGGAGGGAGAGAGAAATGATTAAGACTTAACTTAGTACAGTAGAACTGCTTCTACTGTACTATTTTAGATGAGATTTTTTCTTTTTAACTACGTTTAGTCTTCATTGAGTACTTAGGTGTATTAAATTGATAACATTTCAGATATTGTTATAAATATTTTTATATATCTCGATTTTTTAACCAAATGTTCGAACCGTTTTAAATTCGAATTTGTTATTGAATATTGGTTCGATCATAGAACGTATGCAAACGTTCCAGAAAATTGATCAAATTGAGAACAGTTCGTTTGATTCTCGGCAATTTTCATCATTCCCAGCGGAAGGTGTTATAGCAATNTTATCAAACGATTGGACAAATCTTAATTTATTGCGGCGATTTTAATATTTTTTCGCATAAAGTGCATTTCACTGAATTTCTATATAACGTTTTAATATTTAGTTAACCTATGCTTATTTTTTCGTATACATTTTTTGTTATTTGTAACAATAATTTTTATTTATTTATTAGTAAAGTTTCTTAATGTATTTTTTATTGATTGATGTTTTCATTCTGCTTACAGCAAGGAAGCATGGTGCAATGGAGTAACATCTAGTATCTCTCGGCGGGATTTTGTATATTGGCGATGATCATCTTCCTGATTTTCGGTTCAGCCGAACTGCAACCTTGGGCTGATGATTCGCACGAAGCAGATGAAGAGAAAAACGTTGTCTCCGTATCAAAATAGGGTGCTGCAATGCCAAATTTATAAATTTCCTTTTTATTAAATATAAAATAATGAAATTAAATAATACTGTGAGAGAATATAACATTTTGTAAATAAACTTTAATATTTTTAACTACATCTTCAAGTGTTTGTACCAAATTTCAACTTTCAACTAACCGTTTGTGCTCTGCGCTTAATATCATTATTATTAACAACCCATCGCGATTATATTATAAGATTGATTAATTTTTAACTTTTGTCGGCAAAATTTAAATAAAACTAATAGATGACAAAAATTTCAACCGTAATTGTGACAAGAATAAATTAAGTGAAATTTGGTAAACAGTTAGGGTACATCATGATAACGCGCACTAAGAAAGGATTTTTGGAAATTCCCCCCGCGGAGGGAGAGAGAAATGATTAAGACTTAACTTAGTACAGTAGAACTGCTTCTACTGTACTATTTTAGATGAGATTTTTTCTTTTTAACTACGTTTAGTCTTCATTGAGTACTTAGGTGTATTAAATTGATAACATTTCAGATATTGTTATAAATATTTTTATATATCTCGATTTTTTAACCAAATGTTCGAACCGTTTTAAATTCGAATTTGTTATTGAATATTGGTTCGATCATAGAACGTATGCAAACGTTCCAGAAAATTGATCAAATTGAGAACAGTTCGTTTGATTCTCGGCAATTTTCATCATTCCCAGCGGAAGGTGTTATAGCAATTACTATGGTTTGAAATACAGAATATAAGTGGGGTTTGCTTGCAAAATCCGCGCGTGCAAAGTCGCGGGTAACAGGTAGTATAGTATATGGAAAAATCTATATATATAAAAATGAATGTATGTCTGTGTGTCTGTCTGTCTGTCCTTCATGCATTACCACATCGTTTATCCGATTGCCGTGAAACTTTGGGAAGTTGTTTAATATACTCCAGCGAAGGTTTGTGGCATAGTACGATTGCCATGAAACTTTGGAAAGTTTTTTTAATTTTTTAATACACTCCCGCAAAGTACATTTATCCTACGTAAATACTCAAAGCTTGGCACAAGCTTTGAGTATTTCAGTATGTCAAACTGTCTGTCACGCTGCTGAAAGCAATCATAAACCAGACGAACTCGAAAGCAAAAATCATTATTTTATCGAAAGTATCATTGTTTTCTGGAGAAAGGGAATGCATGGATCAGTGTACATGGTTAACAAAACTGTTCAGATGATGGCATGACATACAAAATTTCGATTGTTAACATCTTATTGGCTGTTTTTCAAATAAAAACACTTTTCGAAATATTCGGTAATTTTGTGCTTACAATTTGTCTGCAGAGTCAAAATTTATAGTAAATCTTATGCTAATTGATATAATTAATTGTATATTATACTATTAGTGAAATGCTATTTTATACAAAGTAGTTTAACATTTTTATGTTTCAGATTTTAAACTGTATGAAAAGATTTGGGAATGTCGCATTGAAAATTTTAATAGGCGGACTTTTGTATATTACGATAATAAGAGATTTTCGTTCAAAGTATTGTCATTTTCACAATTTTGTAGATTTAGAAAGCTTCTTTAATCAATAATGTAATGAACAATGTTAATATTTTTGCAGATGGCGAAGTAATTGCATTCTGTATACCGTGGATTTGGCCCACCAATGGCCAACGGTTCCGTTCCCTGAACACTGGCTGTTCGGTAGTGGATTCGCACCTTGCCCAAAGAGACTAACCAAGTGGAATTTTCCGTGTATATGTACGTCGATCACGTCTGAATAGGAGCCAGTTACCCTTAGAAGACTTCCCGGAGGCACCGTTCTTCGCGTAACAACTATCATAAGCGCATAAAACTGCTATATCACGTGACAATTTTGTCACAGTTTACTACGGGGCAATATAGTCGAATAGCTCATGACTGACAAGCCAAATAAGACAACACGTTAAATTGCTGAAGCTGAGGGATAATTCACACCATTCAAAACAATGTAATGTTAATAATCGAAAGCACGTTTTGTACTTGACAAAATTATTGTATCTGAAACACTTGCATAAATTGATTCCTTATTAATGTTGTAAGCATTTTTCCTTACTTAATGTCATCACGCGTTTTAATGTCATGCAAAGTGGTGTAATATGATCATGTAAAAAATTAATGTAAAATTAATAAAAATAAATAAATTTTAAAAATTGTTACCGAGTTTTTTTCAATTTTTTCGATATTTATTTAAAAATTCCGAGAAATTTTTCGGTTGAAAAATATAATCCGATAGGAATAAAATATTTTTTTCCGTCTACATCGATTTCCTGAACAACTTTTTTATTTCTTTCTATTAAAATTATAAATTGATCAATGTAAAATCTAGGATTTGACAGATATTCTTTAGTCGCTCCACGCAATATTAAACTCGAACTCCATTGTTTAAATGTATTATCTTTGTTTAGTAAATTTAAAAAATAAAGTAATTTATGAGCATTGTCTTTCGAAATACAATTCGAATCCCTCTTTCAAATTTACTTTTACGTTTTTATAATCCTCTTCTAAAACAAATTCTACCGAGTTAGATCTTGTTAACGGATGTTTTCTCCAAGTCCAGACGTCAAATGAACATATTCTTACCTCGTTTCAGCGGATCTGTTACTGCGAATATAAGGGTATTTTACTGTACACAGTAATACACACCTGTGTTCTGTATATTGATATTAAGAAAAAAAGTCAATTACATAATGGAGGTAATTTCAGTTGTAGCCAGAGCGAAATTTTTATCAAACTTATAAAAACAATATGGGCCTATCTGTGTATCAGTAAATAAAAATATAAATATAAATTCTATCGTTTTTTATGATCCACGTGTTTACTTTACACAACCGATTCAAGACTTGTCCTTCATAGTAAAAACGAAAAAAAAAATAAATAAACGTTATTTGAAAATGTAGATCAAGACATGATTAATTAGAAATCAATTTTACATTATGTTATTTCTGTATTTATTTTTTGCAAATGAAGTAAATAAAACGGCGAATAATAAGTCTGTAATAACAGTGGTCTGCGGGACCTGAAAAATAATTCGTAGTAGTGGAAGTTCGTTACAGCAAATGCATTTTTAAACATTTTTTTATACTTTAGACCGGACCGACACCAGCCATCCGAAATAACGCGAAACCGTTATATCGAAGTTCGTAGTATCGAGGTTTACTGCATAAAACAAAGGAAAGGTAATAAAACAGTCACAATCAATTAGAAAAAAAATTAATTTACTTAAATTTAACATAAAATGAAACATTTAATTTTCTCGTAGTTATGAATCTGATTCTTTGATAGATCGATTTATTTCAATTTATTTTTCACTTGAAAATCAAGAACTTAAATGATTAAAATAATATTGTTTATTAGCATACACAAGAAGCTGAACGACTTGAAAGTAGTTTTGGAAAACAATTTTCTAACTTAACTCAAGAAATACACGAAAAAATATTTGATGTAAACGCTTTAATTAATTTAATAATTCATCTATAAACATGAGATGACCCTTTCGTTTCTTAGGAACTTCGTACAAAATTTGTAATCATAAAGTTTTAAAAAGAAATGGTTATGTAATGTCTTTGGATGTATTAATTTTCGGTTATTTTACGTTTTTAGTAATTACACAAATTAAAAAAGTAAATTCCAAGAACAAGAACGCAATTTTATTGGCATCAACATTTATAGAAGTTTTTATCAATGCACACCATTTAATTGATTAATCTAGGTTACAAATAAGCAAACTTTACTATTATATTAAATATATTACACAGTTTAACTAAGAATTACCCACGCTGGTAGAATTATTGATTACTGCACAACTCGGCACAGCTCTGTTACGGATAGACATGTCAATGATAAC